GACTGATGAAGAGGACGAACAGGATGATGAAGAGGAGGAGCAGGATGATGAAGAGGAGGAGCAGGTGAGTGAGGATTCTCTGCAGCCAAGATGACGAGTTTAAAACATTCAACAGAACAGCTGCAGGCAGACAGAATTGTTACACACACACATGTACACACACACACTTACACACACAGACACACACAGACACACAGACACACACAGACATACAGACACACACGTACACACACACACACACACACACACACACACACACACAAGATATGCAAACTTGGGGCGCTGGTGGATCAGTGGTTAGTGTGCGCACCCCATGTATGAAGGCTGTAGTCTCCATGGGTGATCCGTGTTCAAATCCAGCCTGTGGCTCCTTTACCGCATGTCATTCCACACTCTCTCTCTCTCCCTGATTTCAGACTCTATCCACTGTCCCTTCTCCAATAAAGGCACAAAAGCCCAAAAATGAATCTTAAAAAAAAAAAAAAAAAAGACATGCACACTTTAAAATCAAATATAGACCCTGACGCCCTCTGGTGGTGAGACTTGGACCAGCTTTAATAAAACACAGTATACAACAATATAAGATAAGACAGTGGTTCTCAATCTTTTTAGACTGCGTAACACCTCCGAAAATATTTGGCTCTCCAAGTACCACCATTATGGTAGATGTTAAAATACACTGTAGGCCTATTTCTACACACATTTTACGCAGGAGGTTATTTATTATTGACTGTTGGCAGCTACACTATAGGCCTACTAAGGGCTAGCGCTAGAACTGGCACTTAAACTAACACAACTCTGACATTTGCTCACAATATTTAATCTCCAGTGTTTCCCACACAAACACGATACCTGGGCCCAAGTATATATCCCACCATATATAAGAACCATATATATGTTCTTATTTAATTTTTCATTTATTCATAAAATTGCTGCATGCCTGAGAGAGCAAGAGGGAGCAGGGGAGAGAGAGAGAGCGTGCAGGCGCACGCTCTGCAGGCTCCGTGCAATCAGAGCCGCTGTATTATAAGTCTCTGCGTTCAACATAGCAAAACTGCCTTTTTTTAAAAAAATCCCTCTCTCCCTGAGGAGTGTTAACACTAGAACCGCCAAGACCGTGTGACGGACGGTTTGGGTTTTTATAATACAAATAACTCTTTTTAAATAAAAACTACGAGCCTCTCATCCAATGACTTTTCTTAAATATGTGTCATGTATGTTTTCACAAGATTTCTGAGCATTTATACCTCTAACCGCGCCGCCTTCATATTGACGGCAGTTGAAAATTATACATTTCCCTGGATTGTTTTTGCACGTCGTTTTAATTTGTATTAGTTATTGTTTCTATTTGTAGACTTCATATATATGCGCAGGAATTTAACAAAGAGCGACAGATAGATAGGATATACAAATAGATAGATAGAGACCATAGACAGATAGATACATGCTGACGTCGGTGCCCACTGAGCCACAGCATCCACAAGAGCTGAGAAGGAGGCAGTGCCAGACAAACACGCACTGCAAGAAAAATATGACCATTGTCTCCTGCAAGGGGTGCAAGAGACCTGTGTGTGGGAAGTGCACCGTAAAAGGTTGAGCACTTTTGCCGCAGGTATATGCATTACGTGCCGCGGCGCTGTCCAAGGTGCCAATCGTTCATTTGTTCATCTGTTTATTTGTTTGCCGCTGCATCTGTTATGGATTTCTGCAGTTCTTTTTCTAGGCTATTGTAATGTTTAATGCTCCTGCTGCATGCAGGACCTTTATTGTGAAATACCGGAACCGGATGTATAAGGTGGACTGGCGGTAATAAAGAAAAGCTGACTAATAAGCTCCCAGACGACTGCGTAGACATGGAATTATTTTAATAGGCAACTAGTCAGAACATGGTGTCAGAGTAAGTAGTTAAACTACGAACCCACTTGATAACAAACAAAAAAGAGAAGAAAATGGAGGCTTTCGGAGTCCCTACCCCACAGATGGACTGGGAATCATCCAACTTACCCGATGCGTGGCGCCGATTCAAACAACATGCCGAGCTCATGTTCATGGGCCCGCTCAAAAAGAGAACAGAGGACGAGAAATGCAGTTTTCTCCTGCTGTGGATCGGGGTTAAAGGTCGGGACATAAGCAACACATGGATACTGACTGAGGACAATACTAAATTGCTAAAAACGTACTATGACCGATTTTCAGCATACCTCACACCGGAAGCTAACCCCATATTCGCCAGGTATAAATTCCATGAGAAAGCACAAGGGAGTGGTGAGTCATTTGAGCATTTTGTAATGGAGCTTAAACTCCTTGTTAAAGACTGTGGCTATACAAATAGTGAAGAAATGGTCAGGGACCGTATAGTGTTTGCCACCAACCTAGAGTATGGGAAAAGCTGCTTAGTCACGGACCGGAGCTGACGCTAGACAAGGCGATTGATATAGCCCGCTCCTACGAGCTAGCACAGGTGCAGCTAAAGGCTATGGCTACTGACAGCCATGAAGTGCACGCAGTACACTACAAGACCTGGAAACCAGGCACTGCTAAACATGCTAGCAGACCAAAACGAAAGCCCGAAGACGTCCTACAAAGCCTGCAATGCATGCGGCGGGCACCATAATAAGCAAACAGAGTGCCCAGCAAAGGGGAAACAGTGCTTAAAGTGTCAAAAATTCAACCACTCTGCTAGAGCATGTAAATCAAAGCCCCATACTCTAAACAGAACAGGACATAGACAGGTACTCACCATTGAACAAGAGGGTGATGATTTCAACTCAGACCTGTTTGTGGATGCTGTCACAGCACAAGAGGAGGATGAGGAGGATGCATATGCAGACATAGAACTGGGACCACAGAATGCAAAATTGACATTCAAATTAGATACTGGGGCACAAACGAGCGTGATACCTGCTAAAAACTTTGATGAGCTCATGCCCAGAACACCACTGCTTAAAGTCAAATGTAAACTCTTTGGCTATGGGGGCCACCCACTGAAAGTAAAAGGATACTGCAACCTGGAAATCAAATACAAGAACAAGTCAATAACAGAGAAGTTTCACATCGTGGACTGCAATGGCCCACCTCTCCTAGGCTACAAAGCATGTAAAGCCCTGGGACTAATCAAGGTGGTATATGCAGTCACCGACGGCAGCAAGAATGAGTGTGACTCCCACTCAGCGGACATACTGGGTGAGTACTCAGATGTTTTCAAAGGCATCGGTGAATTCCAGGGTGAGTGCAGTTTCAGGATAGACCCTAGCGTAGCACCAGTAGTTTGCCCGCCAAGGAGGGTGCCATTTGCCCTCAGAGACCGTCTGAAAGCAGAATTAGACAACATGGAAAGAGACAGTGTAATATGTAAAGTGACAGAGCCTACCCAGTGGGTTAACGCCTTAGTAACGTGTGAAAAACCTAAAACGCACAAGCTCCGAGTGTGTTTGGACCCACGGCCCTTGAATAAGGCAATACTGAGGCCATCATTAAGCCAAGGCAAGTCCTTGACTTATAACTGATTGTAAAGGGTGTACGAAGAACGCTGCCCTAAAAAAAAACAAAAAAACTATTGTTGATGTTGTGATGAAAGAAGAAGAAACAGTTGATACCTTTAGGCATAGTGTTGATGTTCATATGTGATTTAGTATCACTGGACCAGATGGAAAAAAAAACAACACCAAAGAAAGGGTTTATTTTGCACTTGAAGGACATTTGCACAAGCAGAAGGACTTTAGGACAATACAGTGTTTATGACATAAGGTCTTTAATTCCTGTCTTTGCCTGTATGTTTTATTGCCTTGCAGACAGTTATTTTTGTTGAAGGGAGATGTAATGTTTAATGCTCCTGCTGCATGCAGGACCTTTATTGTGAAATACCGGAACCGGATGTATAAGGTGGACTGGCGGTAATAAAGAAAAGCTGACTAATAAGCTCCCAGACGACTGCGTAGACATGGAATTATTTTAATAGGCAACTAGTCACAACAGCTATATAGTTTGTCATGCCCATAGATAACCGTGTTTTTGTTGTTGTTGTTGTTGTTTTTGGCGTGCGTGTGTGTTGGTCAATAATTTCCTCTATGTTGGGGAAACAAACCCAGTTGCAGAGAGGAGGAGGAGCATCGGTGTTTATCTCTTTTTTTTTGCAGTGTTTTTATTAAAATGCATAGCCTAATATAGCCAACAATATAATAGACTAAAAGTTCTGTATGTTTCATTTTTGTAGAATGTGTTTTAGCAACGGGAGACGTGGAGAAGCAGTAAAAAATGGCGCACTAAAAAAGCCGACAGATATTGTAAATTAACATGCAACATTTAAAAGGTTACCAATCCTGCTTTATGCTTATAGCCTATTTTGTTTGTAGATAAAAGTAAGTTGTATTTAACTTCATCAAAAAAAATGCATTATTTGTGTGCTTCTGAGCACAAACAATTTTGGGCAGATTAAAGTTGTTTGTTGCAAAAACTAGATTCATTTAGAGGGGAAAACACATTTGATATAAATACAACTCAACAGATACAAGACAGATAAGATAAGAGTATGACAAAAAAAAAAAGTCGTTCTATGCTGAACAGGTTTTTTTTTTTATATTGTGGAGATTTCTTTGCATACCACCACCACTGAGATAAGATAAGATAATCCTTTATTTATCCCACAATGGGGAAATTTACAATATATAAATATATAGATGAATCATAATTGGCATAGAAACCTCAGAGACTGGAGAATGTGTGTGTGTTTATAATGTGTGTGTAAAGATGATGAGTCAGCATTAAGTGCCAGTGACCCTGACAGAGCTTAATGAGACATCTGAACATTTTGAATCATCTCATGTCTCTGAACATCCTGTGACATCATCATCACCATCATTAATATGTGTAATGAGTGTTTGTGTTTATGAAACCTGATGGTCGTTATTTAAAAGCAGAGAGCTGTTTTTTTTATTTCAAACAATCTTTATTTAAAAATGTAAAGAAACAGGAGCACTGTAACACATGAAGCACAAACACTGTTTCACTGTGTTCAAAAGTACATTTATTCATCATAATCAGACACATCCATCAAATCAAAGAAAGTAAAGTTCAGTCTGTGTGTGTGCAGAAACATGACAAACATTCGTGAAATTAAAAAAAACCTCCCAAAGCTTCAGACCGCTCCGTGTTTAAACTCTTTAAATCAGGTTAATCAACACACCACGCTGCCATGAAAACACCACTGTACATCATCTGGTCTCCATGACGACAACACCATCGCCTCATCATCAGAACACGTGGAGGAGTGTGAACTAATTCATTCAGGATAAAGAGGGTTAAAGGTTAAAGGTTACAGGTGTGATGATGTCGTGCTCCGTCTCAGGTAAATATACACAAATCAAAGCTGATCACAAATAAAAACATATATAACAAAGTCTGCTTTGATCCCGACAGGTGATCCAACCTGTCAACACACCTGTTAGTTTGTCCTGGTGACAGAGCTATCAGAGTAAAGACATGGGCTGTGATTGGACACATCAAAGGTACCTGTAGGTGTGAGTGACAGAGTGTGCTCCTGATCACCAGGAGGGATGTTAATGTGAACTGTGCAGGGTCAAATACAGCCTGATTCATGAGGGGGGGGGGGTTGTTTTGCTCTATGAGGGGGGTCGGGGACATTGTCATGCTCTGTAAAGGGGTAGCTGAGGGCGGGGGGGAAGCCCTGGCTGTGGGGCTGTTCGTCCAGCAGCACCAGGTCGTCCACATCTCTTCCATTGAACCTTCGTCTGCAGATCTTCACCATCACCTTTCTGCCCTGAAAAACCTTTAACACCTCTTTGGACGCCATTGCTTTGGCGGCAGTCTCGTCCCGCCCGTAACCTGTCCCCATGTAGACTGTCTGACAGCGGATCTCACACACGTATCCCTCCTTCTGAGCGCGCCCGGCGGGCAGGCCGGTTATGTCTTTCAGTGGAACGAACACGCAGGTGAGGGTCTGTTTGCACGACTCCACACAGCTCCTTAGGATCTCACAGTGGTCCAAGTTGGGGCCAAAGCCCCCCGCTGACACCAGCTTCCAAGCCACGGCCTTATAGAGGCGATTAAAGAACGGTTGGTGCTCTGCTGGAGCCTGAGGGAGGGGTCCAGATTTCTGACCGACACCACATTTCACCTTCTTTACACAGAGGTCAGTGTCGCCGTCTGCAGGACAACACAAGACACACCACACGCACACACAACAAACAAATCAGACACACACACACAACAAACAAATCAGACACATAACACATTATGTTGTGAGGATTGAAACAAGAAAACAAAAATCTGTTTTTACCTGAGCAGGAGCTGCGTTTTCCTTTAGATGATAAATCTTTTGTAGTTTTATGAACAGGAGCTTCATGGACTACAATTCCCTCTCCCATCTCCCTGATCTTTTCCATCACAGCCTGAGGATAACTGGAAGAGGAGCACAGACACACAACTCGTCACCTTTACTGTCTGTGGTCCATCACAGTGTTGTGTCAAGTGTTCAGCTGTTCTTACCAGCAGCCCAGGAACACGTGGTTGGTCCACACCATGGACAGAGACAGTAATCGGTCCAGGCTGGAGCTCACCTGTCCTGGCTGCACGGTGGGGAAGGCCTCCATGTTCCTGAGGATGAACTCTCTGCGGGCCAACCACTGTTTATTAGTCTCACAATAACCTCTGAACGATTCCACCCACTGCGCCAGCTCAGGGTTCTGATCCAGGTACTCTGACACCGAGTCCTGACCGCTCCACAACCCCGCCATACCTGCAGGATACAAAAACACATTTCAACAAAAGACACACTGGGACAACGAAAGACACACTGCAACAACAACAGACACTACAACAACAGATACACTGTAAATACAGACACACTGCAACAACAACAGACACTGCAACAACTACAGACACACTGTAACAACAACCACACTGTAAAAACAACAGACACACTGCAACAACAAACAGAAATTTCCCCTTGCGGGATCAATAAAGGAACTCTTAATCTTAACAGCCACACTGTAACATCAGACACACTGCAACAACAGACACTGCAATAACAGACACACTGTAAGAACAACATACACACTGCAACAACAACATACACACTGTAACTAGACACCCTGTAACATCAACTGCGACAACAGAAAGAATGCAACAACAGACACACTGTAACAACAGCCAAACTGTAACAACAGACACATTGCAACAACAGACACACTGTAAAAACAGACACATTGCAACAACAGACACTGTAACAACAGACACACTGTAAAAACAGACACATTGCAACAACAGACACTGTAACAACAGACACACTGTAAAAACAACAGACACACTGCAACAACAGACACACTGTAAAAACAGACACATTGCAACAACAGACACTGTAACAACAGACACACTGTAAAAACAACAGACACACTGCAACAACAGAAACTGCAAAAACAGACACACTGCGACGACTGCAGACATACTGCAACAACAGCCACACTGTAAGAACAACAGACACACTGCAACAACAACATACACACTGTAACTAGACACCCTGTAACATCAACATACACTGCAACAACAGACAGAATGCAACAACAACAGACACTGCGACAACAGAAAGAATGCAACAACAGACACACTGTAACAACAGCCAAACTGTAACAACAGACACTGCAACAAAAGACACTGTAAAAACAACAGACACACTGCAACAACAGACACACTGTAAAAACAGACACATTGCAACAAAAGACACTGTAACAGACACACTGTAAAAACAACAGACACACTGCAACAACAGAAACTGCAAAAACAGACACACTGCGACGACTGCAGATATACTGCAACAACAGCCACACTGTAAGAACAACAGACACACTGCAACAACAGACACACTAATAACAACAGACATACTGTAGCAACAGACACACTGCAACAACAGACACACTGCAACAACAACAGACACACTGTGACAACTACAGACATACTGCAACAACAACAGACACACTGTAACAACAACAGACACACTGTGACAACGACAGACACACTGTGACAACGACAGACACACTGCGACAACGACAGACACACTGCAAAAACAGACAAACTGTAACGACAACAGACACACTGCAACACCAGACACACTGTTAAGACAAACACACTGTAACAACAGACACACTGCAACAACAGACGCACTGTAACGACAAGACGCACTGTGATAACAGACACACTGTAACAACAACAAACAAACTGTAACAACAGACACACTGTAACAACAACAAACACACTGTAACGACAACAGACGCACTGTGACAACAGACAAACTGCAACAACAACAGATGCACTGTAACAACAGACACACTGTAACGACAACAGACACACTGTAGCAACAACAGATGCACTGTGACAACAGACACACTGTAACGACAACAGACACACTGTAGCGACAACAGACGCACTGTGACAACAGACAAACTGTAACAACAACAAACACACTGTAACAAGACACACTGCAACAACAACATACACACTGTAACAACAGACACACTGCAACAACAGACGCACTGTAACGACAACAGACCGCTGTAACAACAACAAACACACTGTAAAAACAGACACACTGCAACAACAACATACACACTGTAACGACAACAGATGCACTGTAACAACAGACACACTGTAACGACAACAGATGCACTGTGACAACAGACAAACTGCAACAACAGACACACTGTAACGACAATAGACGCACTGTGTAGCCGTTATCAGCAGCCACATTTTACAACCTCTCTTCCTGCAGGACTCAGGACTGTGGATTAACACCTGGGTTTATTTTACCAAGAAACAAAGGAACTGACCAATGATTTAAGTCTCCCTCTCAGACAGGCTCTGGAAGACAGTATATTATGAACTTTTACAACACCTGGAATAAACAATCGAACGGAAACAGAACACTCTGCTATCTACGAATTGACCCCAAAGACATGAACTGTGACCGAAACCAGTCTCTGCAAAGTCGTAAAATTGACCATCTGTTGAAGGACTGCTGAAGAGCTGAATTAAACCACAGCGTTCAATTCTGCATCAAATGAACATTTATGTCTTTCTTCATCTAGATATTTGTAATTGTCACAGTGAATATATTATAATAATCTTTTTAAACTCAAAATCTGATCTTCAGAATAGGAATAAGAGTTATATTATGTTAAATAGGAATTTGACGTGGAGCACTATTGCCATCTAGTGTTAGAATATCCATGAATACGTAACCTTCATAATTATACATTTAGACGTGTTATAAAGCATACTCTTTGATATTAGCTATAGAAGGTGTTATTTAAAGACACCAATTTCTTTTCCTACTTTATTAATATGTCTTATTAAGAATGCTGACTGTATAACATGTTTTTGTTCACTTACAGGCTGGGATTAACTGAGGATGTTCCCAGATGGTGTGATTTTCATCTCAACATGAATCTGATAGAAATGTTGGTCTAAATATATGACGTGAACCTACATCAATGTGGATCTGATAGAAATAATATCAAAATGAATGTATGGTGACGTATATATGTTTAGATTCTTATTCTTAATCTTATTGAGTAAACTTGGTTTAGTTTAAACAATTGTCCTCCGATCAGAATGGGAGTGACCCTTCTCATGCAGGCACCTTCTTCTCCTGCAGACCCCCTCTTCTCATCCAGCTGATAAGAGCTCACACTGAGCTCAGATCTTTAGTTCTTAGTTTTGGTTTCTTGAAGTTTAGAGCTTCAGCTCTTGCTCTCTTCTCTTCGGACTTCGGTCCGAATCACTTCTTTTAAGTTTGTGCCGTAGAGACGAGTCTCTGCCGAACTTTCTTTTTCACACACAATTTTTGGAACATTAATTCTTTCTGGCTCAAGCAAGGTTTTTGAACTTTCTTCTCCAAAGTCTTTGCTCTTCAATTTTGAACGCCAATTCCTTAGTTTGGATTCATCAAGATGGCTAGCTTCTGAGACGACGGCTGAACCGACGTACAATCTCCATCCCAGCTGCATACTCCAACCAAGTTGTTAAGGCATCTAATCTGGCCTGTGGACCTCTCTGGGCCTGAAAAGAACCGCTTGCTAGAGACTGAAATGCGGGACCAGCCGGCGGAGTTCAATTGAACACATCTCACAGTAAGACTGCTGGTGGCAAGGGGTGTTGGAAGATTGAGTCTTGAGTCGTGTCTATTCAGAGCCCTCCTTTAAATCCAAATAGAATCCCAACATTCTTTTATCAACTTTTTCTTTTTGACCATTTTCTGATTAAGTCATTCAAACAATACCGAGTCTTATCTCATTACTAAATATATGATGTCACCATACATTATAACTGCATTATCCTGATCATAATAATCATATTCTTTATCTGTTTCATCTATACATTATTGTTTACCCCTTTTTTACACATTTTACACATAAAATTCAGGACTTTGTCTGTGTGTTTTCTTGTTTAACATTTCCAGAACTTACTTCTTTCAAGATATGAAACTGACTGATTAATTAATTAACTTACACCATTAAAGTTATTTTCTTCCTTTACCAGGAAGTGGGGCCCCTTCTTTTAATCCGAGGTTAAATAAAGATATAAAATCTTAATAATTTAATTACGCTACACACTGTAACAACAGCCACACTGTAGCGACAACAGACGCACTGTAACAACAAACACACTGCAACAACAGACACACTGTAACGACAACAGACGCACTGTAACGACGACAGACACACTGTAACAACGACAAACACACTGTAACAACAGATACACTGCAACAACAACAGACACACTGCAACAACAACAGATGCACTGTAACGACAACAGACGCACTGTGACAACAGACACACTGCAACAACAGACACACTGTAACGACAACAGACGCACTGTAACAACAACAGATGCACTGTGACAACAGACAAACTGTAACAACATACACACTGTAACAACAACAAACAAACTGTAACAACAGACACACTGTAACAACAACAGACACACTGCAACAAACACAGACACTGTAACAACAACAGACACACTGTAACGACAACAGACGCACTGTGACAACAGACAAACTGCAACAACAACAGACACATTGTAACAACAACAGACACGCTGTAGCGACAACAGACGCACTGTGACCTGTGACACTGTGACAACAGACAAACTGTAATAACAACAAACAAACTGTAACAACAGACACACTGTAACAACAACAAACACACTGTAGCGACAACAGACGCACTGTGACAACAGACAAACTGTAACAACAGACACACTGTAACAACAGACACACTGCAATAACAACAGACACACTGTAATGACAACAGACACACTGTAACGACAACAGATGCACTGTGACAACAGACAAACTGTAACAACATACACACTGTAACAACAACAAACAAACTGTAACAACAGACACACTGTAACAACAACAGACACACTGCAACAAACACAGACACTGTAACAACAACAGACACACTGTAACGACAACAGACGCACTGTGACAACAGACAAACAGCAACAACAACAGACACATTGTAACAACAACAGACACGCTGTAGCGACAACAGACGCACTGTGACAACAGACACACTGTGACAACAGACACACTGTAATGACAACAGACACACTGTGACAAAAGACACACTGCAACAACAGACACACTGCAACAACAACAGACACACTGTAGCGACAACAGACGCACTGTGACAACAGACAAACTGTAACAACAGACACACTGCAACAACAACATACACACTGTAACGACAACAGACACACTGCAACAACAGACACACTGTAACAACAACAGATGCACTGTACCAACAACAGACGCACTGTGACAACAGACAAACTGTAACAACAGACACACTGTAATGACAACAGATGCACTGTACCAACAACAGACGCACTGTGACAACAGACAAACTGTAACAACAGACACACTGCAACAACATACACACTGTAACGACAACAGACGCAAACTGTGACAACAGACGCACTGTGACGACAACAGACAAACTGCAACAACAGACACACTGTAATGACAACAGATGCACTGTACCAACAACAGACGCACTGTGACAACAGACAAACTGTAACAACAGACACACTGCAACAACAGACACACTGTAACGACAACAGACACACTGTGACAACAACAGACACACTGTAACAATAACAGACACAATATGACAACAGACACACTGCAACAACAACAGACACACTGTGACAATAGACGCACTGTAACAACAACAGACACACTGTAACAACAGACACACTGTAGCGACAACAGACACACTGTTACAATAACACTGCAACATTAACAGACACACTGTAACAACAGACACACTGTGACAACAGACACACTGTTACAATAACACTGCAACATTAACAGACACACTGTAACAACAGACACACTGTGACAACAGACACACTGTGACAATAGACGCACTGCAACAATAACAGACACACTGGATATGCTTGTTGCCATGGTATCAAACAGGTATCGATATCGATTTTTTTTTTTTTTTTTTACCAGAATCAATGTTTAAAGGTGCGGTATCATATATTAACATATAGAGAATCACACCTGTTACAACACACACACACACACACACACACACACACACACACACACACACACACACACACACACACACACACACACACACACACACACACACACACCTGTAACATAACACACAAAACAGAAACATAATAATGACGTCGCATCATGCTAATTAAAGGTAACAGGTGTGATCTCGTACCTGTCAGATAGCGTTTTCAAACCACATACAGCTACTGCTTCAGATGCTAAATGCTAGCTAAAGTGTTACAGAGTGCTACTTAAAGTTCAAACAAACGGCTACCTGAGGGATTGCTGAGCTAACAGTTCTAGCATGATCAAAAAAATATTGATAATAAGGTATCACGACATTTGACGCTCACTCAGTTTGTACGATGGAGTCATTTATACAGATATAAAATACACACCTTATCCGATACGTGCTGCTGGTAGCTAGCTACATGACACAAAGATGACGTAAGACGCTACGTTTAGCGGGAAGAACTACATTTCCCAGACTGACAACGGAATGCTTAGTTTAATGTTGTTTAGCGTACATGTGTTATTGAATGCTTTATTTGATTTAAAGCATCGTTTAAATCAAAGTAAACATAAGCTAAAAGCTCAAAAAGCTAAACGATAAAATGACTGAACATTAAAAACCCGCGCATGCCCCATGACGCTCTCCGTCTTGACGTAATCAAATTGCGACAACTTGGGCGGCAGTTTGTGCTGATGGGTGTACGGGGAGCTCTCCGGAATATTTCAGGGAAATCAGACAACGGTGAGAGAGGATGATTCACGAGCTGCTGCTGGCGCTGAGCGGATACCCGGGGACCATCTTCACCTGGAACAAACGGACAGGTCTGCAGGTAAAGTGTAGGGAAAAAAACCCGCTTTGTGACGGTATTGCGCATGCGTGTTAACACCGATAATAAGAGATCACTTCATACAAAGCTACAGGTGTTAGGGTTAAAAAAATGACCGTGTTAACAGGTGACTGTAACACAGGCACACAGGCAGATAGACAGACAGACAGACAGAGAGAGGCAGACACACAGACAGACAGACAGACAGACAGACAGACATTTATTGTCATGGCAAAAGTAGTTTAACTTCATTGGACAAACGCCATTGAAATATTTTGTAAAAACCAAAAAATATTGTTACTTATATTAATTCTTGAAAAGTTTTAATGTGGCCTGAAGCGCCCTCCAGAAGGCAACAGTTGAAACAGGTGTTGTGTTGGTGGGAGGAGTCCTGAAGCTGCGAGCACTGCGGAGGCTGTGTTTAATGTGAATGCCCTCACAGGACAGTAGATTTATAAATGAAACACTGATCATGTTGACACTGTGTTTACCTGTCAGGTGTCTCAGGACCTGCCCTTCCTCCACCCCAGTGAGACCAGCGTCCTCAGCAGGCTGTCCAAACTGGGCTCAGACTACATCCGCTTCAGTGAGTTCATCGAGCAGCACACTGGGCACGTGCATCCACAGGTGAGAGCACTTGTTCCTGCTGCAGATGTTCACATGTCAACACATGGTCAGGGTGTCAGAGGGATTTAATGAACACTTTGTTTTAAGGAGCACCACTCAAACCAACCCAGTCAGACGGGTCTCCATGGGATTTACCTGCGAGCGTTCTGCACAGGTCTGGACTCGGTGCTGCAGCCGTACAGACAGGCTCTGCTGGACCTGGAACAGGAGGTACAAACACCACTCAAACGATTCATATAGAGATTCAATACCTCGCATCCCGAAAGAAGGAAGAGTGTTTCTAACTTCAAACAGACTGCACAGGGTTTCTACAGAGACCTGATCTGTAGGAATCCAAACTGTTGGAGTGTTCAGGTTCCTCGGGTGCGTCTGGAGAACGTTGGCGATCATCACACTCCACAGACGCTCGTTCTCCTCATGATGTAAATGTAGTTTTTTTAAAAAGTGACTGATCTAACACACACACCCGGGACACAGCCGTGACCTGTGACCCCCCCCCCCTCTCTCAGGAAATTGATGTGAGTCTTTAATGTTGACGTGGATCATGTGACTGGAAGCTCATGAAGATTTTGTCCGTGTTTCAGTTTCTTGGAGATCCTCACCTGACCATATCTCACGTCAATTACAAACTGGACCAGGTAAACAAAACCTTCTGATGACATCACTGAAATGTTTACCTTAATAAACAAACTGCAGACACTGATGTGTGTGTGTGTGTGTGTGTGTGTGTGTGTGTGTGTGTGTTCAGTTCCAGCTGCTGTTTCCATCTGTGATGGTCGTGGTGGAGACGATCAAATCCCACAAGGTGCTTAACGTAAATTATGAACCCGTTGTTGTTGTTATCTTTATCATTGTTGCGTTGTTTGTGTTTAGATACACGGCTGTCAGATCCTGGAGACGGTGTACAAACACAGCTGTGGCGGTCTTCCACCTGTTCGCATGGCGTTAGAAAAGTGAGTAAGCTCCTCCCTAACCTTCTAGATTTTTATTCTTTAAGAAACATTTCAAGAAAGTGCCAATTTTCTGTGAAATGTTTTGTTTTGTGAAATATTTTGAAATATTCTGTGAAATCTTCTGTGAAATGTTTTGTTCTGTGAAATCTTCTGTGAAATGTTTTGTTCTGTGAAATGTTCTGTGAAATATTTTGTGAAATGTTTTGTTTTGTGAAATGTTCTGTGAAATGTTTTGTTCTGTGAAATGTTCTGTGAAATATTTTGTTTTGTGAAATGTTCTGTGAAATGTTCTGTTCTGTTAAATGTTCTGTGAAATGTTTTGTTTTGTGAAATGTTCTGTGAAATGTTTTGTTCTGTGAAATGTTCTGTGAAATGTTCTGTGAAATGTTTTGTGAAATGTTCTGGGAAATGTTTCTGCAGTTCAGGGCCACCGTATGTTTTGCTATCAGAGTTCATGAGTTCTCTCATAACGATGAACATTGAAGGGAGGAGTTATCAGCTACAAATGAACCAATGAGCATCAGAGTTTATATGAATCAAACTGTGATGTTGATTGTTCACATCATCCTCTCTGCAGGATCCTGGCCGTGTGCCATGGCGTGATGTACAAACAGCTGGCGGCGTGGATGCTTCATGGTTTGCTGTTGGATCAGAGCGAGGAGTTCTTTGTGAAACAGGGTCCCAGTGCAGGAGGAGCGACTGCTAACCAGGAGGAGGAGGAGGAGGACCTGGGTCTAGGAGGTCTGAGTGGGAAACAGCTCAGAGAATTGCAGGACCTGGTGAGGAGTTCAGACTCAAAGATGGGGGGGTGTGTGGCTGGTGGAGGAGGAGCAGAACGTGTGCGCGTGCGTGTGTGTGTGAGGCTAGTGGAGGAGGAGAACGTGTGCGTTACAGAGGCTGGTGGAGGAGGAGAACGTGTGCGTTACAGAGGCTGGTGGAGGAGGAGAACGTGTGCGTGTGCGTTACAGAGGCTGGTGGAGGAGGAGTGCGTGTGCGTTACAGAGGCTGGTGGAGGAGGAGAGCGTGTGTGTGTTACAGAGGCTGGTGGAGGAGGAGAACGTGTGTGTGTTACAGAGGCTGGTGGAGGAGGAGAACGTGTGTGTGTTACAGAGGCTGGTGGAGGAGGAGAACGTGTGTGTGTTACAGAGGCTGGTGGAGGAGGAGAACGTGTGTGTGTTACAGAGGCTGGTGGAGGAGGAGAACGTGTGTGTGTTACAGAGGCTGGTGGAGGAGGAGAACGTGTGTGTGTTACAGAGGCTGGTGGAGGAGGAGAACATGTGTGTGTGTGCGTGTTACAGAGGCTGGTGGAGGAGGAGAACATGTGTGTGTGTGCGTGTTACAGAGGCTGGTGGAGGAGGAGAACATGTGTGTGTGTGCGTGTTACAGAGGCTGGTGGAGGAGGAGAACATGTGTGTGTGTTACAGAGGCTGGTGGAGGAGGAGAACATGTGTGTGTGTTACAGAGGCTGGTGGAGGAGGAGAACATGTGTGTGTGTTACAGAGGCTGGTGGAGGAGGAGAACATGTGTGTGTGTTACAAAGGCTGGTGGAGGAGGAGAACATGTGTGTGTGTGTGCATGTTACAGAGGCTGGTGGAGGAGGAGAACATGCTGGCTCCGTCCCTGCAGCAGTTCTCTCTGCGCTCGGAGATGTTACCCTCCTACATCCCGATCCGAGTGGCTGAGAAGATCCTGTTTGTGGGAGAGTCGGTCCAGATGTTTGAAAACCACAACCACAGCCCGTCCAGAGCCGGTACATGAACTACACATGAACTACCCAACAACACAAAATCAACTACACATGAACTACACATCAACACAACATGAACTACACATCAACACAACATGAACTACACACCAACACATGAACTACACATCAACACAACATCAACTACACACCAACACATGAACTACACATCAACACAACATCAACTACACATCAACACAACGTGAACTACACATTGTGTGTTTCTAAAGACTTGTGTTTATGAGGCAGAAGGTTTGAGGAGTCACAGAGCTGTTAACCTGTTTTCTTTGTTTCGGGTGTGTTGTTGTGTGTGTGTTTTTGTGCGTCAGGATCGATCCTGAAGCACCAGGAGGACACATTTGCTTCAGAGATGCACAGACTCAAACAGCAGCCGCTCTTCAGCCTCGTCGACTTTGAGAATTTAATCGATTGTATCAGGAGCACAGTGGCCGAGGTCAGATGGAGCACTGCTGTTTATATTACATTATGTTTATGCTAAGCTAATATGCGAACATGTGTCTGGCCTGCAGCACCTGTGGACTCTGATGGTGGAAGAGGCGGACCTGCTGGAGCAGCTCAAGGTTTGTTCCAACCTAACAGATGATACATCTCAAAACCCTGCTGGTGAGTAAATCTGATCCTTTCATCAAATGAATCTTTAGATCATCAAAGATTTTTACCTGCTGGGTCGAGGAGAGCTCTACCAGGTGTTCATCGACCTTGCTCAGCACATGCTCAAGACTCCTCCCACAGCTGTCACAGAGCACGGTAACATAGACACATCCTTCAGGCTTTATATATCGCTAAACAAACAATGAACAGACACACACCTGTGTGTATTTTTCTGTCATGTATTTCCTGTTCCTGTGTGTATTTTCTTGTGATGTTTTTCCTGTTCCTCAGATGTGAACGTGGCATTTCAGCAGGCAGCTCATAAAGTTCTGCTGGACGATGATAACCTGCTGCCTCTGCTGCACCTCACTGTGGACTACCAGGGGAAAGACTGTAAAGGTGAGCTCACCTGAGCTGAAGCACCTTGTAGATGACGACGGATATTGAAATGAAATAACACTTGATAAATGAATCAATAATTTGAGATGAGCTAACCAATGTCCTGTCTGGTCCCAGAGTCGTCAGGTCCCAGAGATGGGGCCACACCCCCTCAGGACATGTCTCCTCGTGAGGCTCCGCCCACTGGCTGGGCAGCTCTTGGTCTCACTTACAAGGTTCAGTGGCCTCTACATATCCTGTTCACCCCTGCTGTGTTAGAGAAGTAAGGACGCACGTTGACACACTCTCTATGTTAACATGTTTCAAATATGTTGACCCCCCTCCTCTCCCCCCCTCAGGTATAACGTTGTTTTCAGGTATCTGCTAAGCGTGCGGCGTGTTCAGTCTCAGCTGCAGATGTGTTGGGCTCTGCAGATGCAGAGGAAACACCTAAAGTCTAGCCAGATGGACGCCGTGAAGTGGAGGCTCCGCAACCACATGGCCTTCCTCATTGACAATCTGCAGTACTACCTCCAGGTGAGAGGAAGAGCATGTGTTACGCCCCGCCATAAGGCGGCCCTATGGGCTAACAACAATCCACACATTGACCCATTAAAATACTTAAAACACCTTAACAAAGGGATTTATTACAATATGACACACTAAATGATAACAAAGATCAAAGGAGAAACAAAAGAAAACAGACGATCCCTGACTGAGAGGCGCAGCAGTCCCAACTCCAAATGCCCCTCTTTCTGCAGCCAGCAGTGGCTTCACCTGGACTGGAGAACAGAAAGGGAGAAGGGACAAACAGTACAAGGAAACACACAGCCGTAACACGTGTATGAGTTCCATCGCAGACGGGGCGTGTATCTCTCCCACCCATAACCGGAGGCAACACTCGACAGTCATGCTGAGACAGGCGGAAGGAGACCTTCCTGTTTGGGAGGGGCCAGGGCGTCCCGCAGCAGAGTTTAAGTAGTAGAGTCCTAACTGGCCAGAGTGGGGGCACCATAAGAAGTTTGTGTAGTGTTGGCTATATAAGGGCAAATGGTGGAAAGGACCTGTTCTGATCCGCCTTGAGCCAGACACCCTAGAAGCTCTGTACCATCTATGGGTGCATTTCACGGGAGAGGAAGTCTTCAACCTGTTCTGTTCTCTAGATAGATACTTGGCCCGCAGGCTGGCCAGGCAGGGGGCTGCCCATGAAAGCAGACCTGGTACCCCTTGATGGTTTATATGAACACAGTAGACGTGTTGTCCAACCATACTAGCACCTTTCTTTCCTCTCAGATATGACAGGAGGTCCTTGAAGCCCTAGCATATTGACATGTTCTATGGGGTCCTGGGCAGACCACTGCACCTGAGTGTACTTGCCCTGCTACACTGCCCCCACCCTTTGAGGCAAGCATCTATTGTCATCATCTCCAAGCGAAACGAAACTGGTCACAGGGGGATGTCCCATGACTGAAATTCCTGGTCGTCCAAGGTGACAGCCCGAAGGGCTGAGCCACATGGAAGAAGAGAAGAGCTGTGTCATGGACCACCAGGGAACCGGATGCTGCACAGATCAGCCTGTAGTCCAGATAAGGCAAGACCTTCGTGCCCTGGGACTGCACAGACGCACTTTGTGAACGCCGGCGCAAACCCTGAGGGATGCTTCACCTGTCCGTTCCAGGACTTGTACAGGAGCTGTACCAAAAAGCCCCCCAATATCTGACAAGGTGGAATGTGCAAGCCAAACCAGATGGTGCGCCTGGACCAGAATGGTCATCAGATGCCCAAGTGCCGGTGCCTCTATTGTGGTGACACTCAGACTGGTAGTGGATGTTTCCTCCGCAGTCGGCAGGAGTGCTGCATGACACTAGGGTGGAGAGGCAGAATAAACTGCAAAATAAAGATAATTCCAATTCTGCTTTTTTCCTTCCAACAGGACATCAGTTCAGTATATCTGTCAGAATATGTTTAACTTCCCAGCTGTGCATATAGAGGTGAAGAATTGGTATATGTGACTTTAGAATCATCTCATTGACAAAGGTGAGCAAAGTGTTGACTTTATGCTTGCTGTGTGTGTGCAGGTGGATGTGTTGGAGTCTCAGTTCTCTCAGCTGCTGCAGCAGATTAACTCCACCAGAGACTTTGAGAGCATCAGACTGGCTCATGATCACTTCCTCAGTAACCTGCTGGCCCAGTCTTTCATCCTGCTCAAACCGGTTTACATGAATCCTCATTGACATGAAATAAGATCATTATTATTTTCAAACACAATCAGTGAGGAGTACAGGTGTTAATACAGGTGTGTGTGCGTGTGTGTCCTCAGGTGTTCCACTGTCTCAATGAGATCCTGGAGCTGTGTCTCAGTTTCTGCTCTCTGGTCAGTCTGAGTGTTTCCTCTCTGGACGAGAGGGGGGGTGCTCAGCTTGACATCCTGGTCAAGGTAAACTCAATAACTCATTTTTATATTCAACCATAAAACTTTAAAAACGTTTCTATATATGTTCATATTTCAGGGTTTCAGACGCCAGTCGTCTCTGCTCTTTAAAATCCTGTCAAGTGTCAGGAACCATCAGATCAACTCTGATTTAGCTCAGCTCTTACTGAGACTGGACTACAACAAATACTACACTCAGGCCGGAGGCACGCTGGGCAGGTAGGACACACACACACACCACCCACCCCCCCCCCCCCAAACATCACACTTGTGTTTGACATCACAGTGAACATATTGATGTTAATCCATTGAAACGTGTTGTTTCAGTGTTTAAGAAGAACGCTGAGGATTACAAGTCGGCCATCTTTGTTCATCTGTGACCAGAACAAACTCTTTTAACCTTTGACCCTAAAGGTTAAACATCTTAGGTAACCACGTCTCTGTTATAAACCTCATGTTGGGAGCTTCAGGATGACCTGCAGTGTGAAGATGATCGTTACCCGAGATAACAAGCTGAGTGTATAAACTGTATATATTTAAACTTTGCTGCATGTTTGTGTTTCTGTGGAGAATAAATCAGACTTTTGGAATAAAGAAGCGTCACAGTTTAATGTCTTAAAAACACACAGGTGTTAAAATGTGGGCGTGTCACAGTTTATTGTCCATAAAAACAGCCAGGTAAAGGTGAACATATGTACAGACTCAGACTGATCACACTGAGGATGAGTCATGACGATACTGAGGGTTGCTATGGAAACCCAGCCGCTCCCCTCGGATGACACTCTGGATGAGCCACTCAGCAGACACCAGCGGGACTTCCTGTGATGTCATATCCTTTAGTACCAATGGGGGACAAGCGCTGTCTGTCACCACAACATCAAACTTCCCTTCAGGGACATCTGAGAACGAGAACGTTAAAAAGTTTTAGAGTTTGACAGTGAACATTGTAAAACATGTCTCAGGTGTTTGGTGTACCTGAGGCGTTTTCTTTGTCGGTCTGAACATGTCTCTCAGACGATCCTCCTCCCAGACTGATGAGGTGAGACCACAGATCCACCTGCTGCCCAAACACCAGGAGGACACGAAGACACCTGAATGGACTACAGCGAGGATGCCTGATAGAGAGAGACAGAGAGGAGGAGGAGAGAGCGAGATAATGTTAAGTGTTTAAGTGGGATTTAAGTTAAGGATAAAAAGTTTTAAACGAGGTAAACTTTGGTCTGACCACTCAATGATGGTGCCATCTGACCCCGCCCCCGCTGGCAGCAGGTAGTTCCTGTAGTTTAGCAGCTTGTTCTCTTTGCAGCAGTCTCTGACCCAGATGTGCGATACACACGGCACGCCACTCGCCACGCAGAGTATGTACTTCCTGGTCCGACAGTGCTGGTCAGCAATCAGAAGGCTCTGATAGGCTGCTTTACACTGTAGATAAACACACAGTACACACACCTGAGGAGTCGCACGCACACACGCACACACTTGCCACTGCCAAGCAGAAAGTGTTGGACATGTTTGAACTAATTCAGGGAGCACAGGTAAGCATGGAGCGAGACATATCGTCAGGATATGACTCTGATCTTGGATCAAGCCCCTTAAGAGATCAAACAACCCTGCTGAAAAAGCTCAGTAAAGAACAGAGCAGCCAGGATAACCCAAGGACTGGGAAATAAGTCTAGTTTTCCCGGACTTTGACTGTGGAGCCCCACCCCTCCCCTTTGGGGAAACGCCCCAGTTCCCTGACAGCTGTGACACCTTTTCACACCTTCACAGGTTTGAATCACCACATCACCTCAGCTCCCAGAGGCAGAGATAACACCAGGCCCCCTCCTGCTACCTGTAGGTTCCCATCGCATGATTCACAGCTATATATTCACAGGAATATCAAAACCTCAGATGACTCGGTTGGCTCCCTCTGCATCAATGACTACCTCGGAACGATTAATCTGTGTCTCAGTGATTTACCTGATGCATCCACAAGAGAAAACCTCAGGCTGATCTGGACGACAACTTCCAAGAGTGTCCATGACTTCAAGACTACCCTTCAGCCTGAGATCAAAGACCAGTACTCTGCGCTCTGCAATGCTTTGCGCCAGGAATATTCCACCTACACTGACCCTGCATCTGCCCTTCTTAATGCTTTCAGTGTCTTGCACTAAAGCATGAGGCCCCCAAAGATTATTACTGGCGCCTAAGATCTGCATATTTCCAGGGACGAAAAAGGCTTCAGGTTTGAAAGAGAACCAATCTTTCAAGTCCATCATCATGCACAATCTGCATGGCTGCGTGCGGTCAGATGTCACCATGCATAGTTGTACACATCAGCTTAGTATGAAAGAGATCAAGAAATTTGCACAGGAGGTTTGGGAGACACGCTTACGTCCGTGGTTTGTGACACACGATTAATTACCTAACTCATGAAGGCAACAAGTTGCCTCATGCTAGGAATAAGCTGAAGTGACCACTTCACCGGCAGAATATACAACAGAACCAGAGGGGTGAAGGTGGGACTCAACCACAGGCTAGGTTCCAGCCTGGAGAACTGATCACTACCAGATCCGAATGGAACTCTCGGGATGGCCGTAGCCTGAGACAGAAGGGTAGGTACAACCGGAGTTCCTACGAGCTTCCTTAGGAAGCAAGTTCTGACAGAGTTGGAGCGCATGACAGTGGTAAGTCAGTGGGCCTCCGTCCCTTACAGAGAACATGATTCTGACTCCACATAGGAGTAGGGTTGTAGCCTCCATTTCGAAAACCCAACAATGTCACTCTACCGACATGAATGTTTCCTAGTCCCTGTTTTGTGTTTTGATATTGGTAGTGAGACATATAATGTAGATGTACATTTACACACCTACATGCCACACACCATCCCACAGGCTTACTTCTGCCCAGGCTAGGCGTTAGCCCAACAATCTACACCTGATACTCTTCTTTCTCTCCTCTTCTTCTTTGTTTCTTTAGTTTGTTTAGTTAAATCATGCACCTTGAGCAGCAAAGCATTGCTAATGCCTGTTTATGTTTTGATGCTTAGCATTAGACATAGACATTCTGCACAGACTTTGCCTCAGTGTCTGCCCAGACTAAAATGCCTCTTATTCCTCTGAACTGTTAACCCCATGAACTGAACCAAACCTTTCTCCTCAATCCCAGACACATGGACCGTCTAGCCCGTGGGTAGTCCCAAAGACCGTGACCTGCAACCCACTCTTTAGGACGAAGGGGGGGATGTTGGAATCTCCATGTGTTGAAACCAGGTCCGGCCTGTAGCCACAGAAGCCTGAGTATGAGTACTTAAATGACTTTGGTTGTTGATGTTGTTGTTCACATCATGAGACATGTTGTTGATGTTGTTGTTTTCATCATGAGACGTGTTGTTGATGTTGACTCTCAGTTTAATGAACATGAGGTGAACTCCAGCGATCCTCGACTCTTTTTGTAAATTAATATCTGACAGGTTCTACAGGTGTACAGGTGTGCAGGTTCTACAGGTACAGGTGTACACTCTTTCAAAGAAGTATTTTCTCACCTGCTCCTCGTTGAAGTCGGGCAGGACAAACCCTCCGCCCGCCTGCAGCTGAGACTCGGTGTACGTTTTATTATAGGGTCCCGTCTGCACGTAATCTGTGACACAAACAACAACATTATTACAGTCTTCAACATGGGAACCAAAGCCTGACCAGTCCTCGGCGTCTTCCTCACCCTCCTCTTCCTCGCTGTCGTTCCTGTTGGTCAGACGGTCGTTCTCAGACGACGCCGTCAGCATGAACGCAAAGCCCTGAAACAGTGAGGCGTTCAGGGGCAGCGGGCCGTGAGTCTCCGACACATCGTCACCAGAGCGACCAGGAAGGTCAGTGCCGCTGCCGGAGGTGTTAAACACACCTGTCCTCTGACCTGACACACACACACATGATACGACATATTGTTTATCTTTACGTTGTTGTTTAACATGTTGATGTTTACATCATGAGACGTGTTGTTGTTTACATCATGAGGTGTTGTTGATGTTGTTTACATCATGAAACTTGTGGTTTACGTTGTTGTTTACATCATGAGACGTGTTGTTGATGTTGTTTGTTTACATCATGAGATGTGATGCTGATGTTGTTTACATCATGAGACGTGTTGTTGATGTTGTTTACATCATAAGACATGTTTATGTTGTTTGCATCATGAGACATGTTTACGATGTTGTTTACATCATGAGACATGTTTACGTTGTTTGCATCATGAGACGTGTTAACGTTGTTGATGTTGTTTACATCATGAGACATGCTTATGTTGCTTGCATCATGAGACGTGTTGGTGACGTTGTTGATGTTGTTGTTTACATCATGAGACGTGTTGTTGATGTTGATGTTTACATCATGAGACGTGTTGTTGATGTTTACATCATGAGACGTGTTGATGTTGTTGTTTACATCATGAGACGTGTTGTTGATGTTGTTGTTTACATCATGAGATGTGTTGATGTTAACATCATGAGGCGTGTTGTCAATGTTGTTGTTTACATCATGAGACATGTTGTTGACGTTGTTGATGTTGATGTTTACATCATGAGAAGTGTTGTTGATGTTGTTTACATCATGAGACGTGTTTTTGACGTTGTTGTTTTCATTATAAGACTGCTCTCTGTCGGGGTAAATATTTTTATATTTCAGTCTGTTGGATGAACAGATGTTTGGAGCGTCAGAAACACGTCTCCACGTGTTCTCCTGACTCAAAGCTGAAACTTCAAGCTCGTGAAAAGGATTGGCACAGAGCACCATCTTTGTGAGGGAGGTGGGGAACAGCTGATTTGTAAATATTAACATGTGAAACGTCCAAAGAAGGTCAGAGGGCAGGGGTGGTTTCTGCTCAAGTTCAGGAGGTCAAAAGTAGAGAATATTCACACACACACACACACACACACACACACCCACACACCCTGTGGACCCACACCGTGATGTCATCAGGAGTTACCGTCAGTGTGAGCAGCAGCAGGTCGACACGTCTGCACGTACATCTCAGTTCAAACACATCCCGGACTCACACAGACACACAAACAACACATCACAAACAACACAAACAGGCGGAGAGATTCTTCAGCTAAAAGTGGGTTTTATCAAACATTAAAGGGACACACACTTGTTACAGTTCATACAGCTTTAAAAACCTAAAATCAGATTCTGACCCAAGAAGGAGTTGATTCAAATCAGATCAAATCCCGTAATGAAACAATAAAATATTAAACAATCGTCCTGCAGGGTAATTAATCCAAACATCCCCCCCTCCCCGCTCAGACTCTGTCATAGTTCTGTGTTTCAAGGGGGCGGGGCTCTGTACCAGTTCTGGCTCCTGCTCCTCGGCGCCCCCTCTTGGATGGCGTCCTGCTGTCCTCTGAGCTCAGCAGCTTCCTCTTCCCGGACGGGCCGGGGGTACTGGGGCTGCTGGAGGAGCAACGGTGGGGGGTGTTCTCCCCCCCTGGGCCTCCTCTGCGCCTCCTCTTCCCCTCCACCAGATTATCTGAGGAGAACACACAGCTCATTAATAAAGAGGACCATTGTGTGTGTGTGTGTGTGTGTGTGTGTGTGTGTGTGTGTGTGTGTGTGTGTGTGTGTGTGTGTGTGAGCGTGGGCATCTGTGTGTGTGTGTATGCGAGTGTTAGTGTGTGTATGTTTGTTTGTGTGTGTGTGTCTCACCCAGGCTGATGTCTGAGGCCTTGGTGAGAGGGGTGGAGGGTGTGTATGGTCCCAGGCTGTGCTGCTCCTTCAGCTTGTTGCCCTGATCCAGAGACAGGATGATGGACGTCCTGTTGTACCACTGTCTCTGAGCGTCCCTCTCCACGCTGTACCATAGCTCCTCCCCCTCGCTCTTATAGTCCTTTACTACTCCTACACACACACACACACACACACACACACACACACACACACACACACACACACACACACACACACACACACACACACACACACACACACACACACACACACACACACGGTAACAACTACCCAATGGCCGACACTATGGCGAGATGCTTAAAGTCTTCCTCACCTACGCTGAAGTACTGGTCCTCCAGCAGGGCAGTGACCTCCGTTTCCATGGGGATTGGGTCACACAGCAGGATGTCCTTTCCCGCCACTTCACACTCGTACCCGTCGTCAAAGCGTAGACGGAACTTGGCGTCCCCTGCGTCCATTATGATGCGCCCGGAATAGAAATATCCGTTAGAAGACCACTTGGCGACGACCCGCAGACCGACAAAGCTGCTTCCTGCTGAGCCCGTCTCTTCGGGGGAGGAGCGAAGAGAGTCAGAGCGGGAGGGGGAGGGGTCAGAGGGGCTGACGGGGGGGCGGGGGGGCGGCTCATCCTCCGAGGACGACGCCATCTGAGTGTGAGCGCAAAGCCTCTGCAAAGAGCTGACTCCGCCCCCCCTGATAGAGAGAGAGAGAGAGAGAAGGTTAAGACTTGAGTTCAAATCTAACAAAGGTATTGTTTCAGATCCATCACTACAGACGCAGGTGGAACATTCAGGTTTGAAGATCTGAGACTGAGGTTCAGTCCCGTCTTCAGCTCTTCCATTCAATAGCAGCAAGTTGACCTAAACCCCCTCCCCAGCTGTATGTTCCAGCTCCTGGTGGGGGATTCTGAGGTGTTCCCAGTCCAGAGGGGGGTAATACAATCCCTTAAGGGAGCTCTGGGTCTACCTCAGTCAGACCAGTTTAGCTGGCCCGGTATACCTCCAAAGGGAGGCTTCAAGGAAGATCCTGATCAGACGCTCGAACCACCTCAAAGGTCAAAGGTCTCTTTATTGTCCCCACAGGGAAATTTGTTTGCAGCTGGAGACATACAAATACATCAACAACATTAATAAATCATCCAAACATCATGAAACATGAAGCCCAGCAGAGATGCTGACTCCTCTCAATATGAAGGAGTAGGGACTCTGCTCCAGGCTCCTCCCCCTCTCTCGAAGGCTGAGCCCAGACCCCCTCCAGAGGAAACCCATTATTAACCCATGTTATTCTTTCACTCACTACCCAAAGCTAATGACCACAGGGGAGGGTTGGGACGAAGATCTAGTGGTAAGTTGAGAGCTTTCCCTTCAGCCCGACGGTCCGGCACAACGCCTGTCCATCTTACCCTCACTGTGAACAAGACCCTGAGATACTGAACTCCTTCACTTGAGGCAAAGACTCACTCTCCAAACAGAGGGAACTGTTTTCTTAAAGGGCTAGACTTGGGAGGATCTGACCCACTTCCCAACCGCTTCACACGGCTGCCAACCACCCGGAGCCTGCTGGACATCCCATCCTAAAAGAGCCAACAGACCATCATCACTGGGAGGAGCCTCCTAACCAGCACCCTGAAACAAACTTTCCCCTGGAAGTAGTGTGATGACCCCTGGTCTCCCTTGTCAAAAATGTGAACCACCCCCCCTAGTCTGCCATTCAACAGGTACTGCCCCAGACCGCCACACCACACCGAAGAGGCGCGTCAGCTCCGACAGCCCAACTATGTCCAGAGCCTAAAGTATCTCAGGGTGAAGATGCTTCCCCTGGATCATCAGACTCCTCATCCCAGGACATGTTGATTGGGTCAGCATTTTCTCTGTTTTTTTCACCGTCCAAAAACATCCCCAGTCCTGCTTAGATACCATGCCCCTAACCTCCCCAGATACACAAGAAATCATGCAGTAGTTGTGATCGAAAGTCTGAAGGAGGGCTCTGCTAGTTGTTCCCAGTTTGGGTTCACCAGGTCTGTCCGGCAACTTCCCCCTCTATCTGATCCAATTCCCCACCAGCTGGTAATCAGCTGAGTGTCCAACACATGTTTCTCCCAATCTCTCCCTCCAGGTTTCTGAATCATTGATGTGCCCCAGCAGAATCCTGGAAGAACCCCAACCAGAGACTCCAGGAAGGCTGCATACTCTGGATAGATGTTATTTATCTAAACTAAACTCTGAATAACCTTGTCTTCACAGGTAAGAGGATTTTTTACAAACATTAAGATGTAAGATCATTTGACTTTGGACTGTTTCACAACATTTCTACAAAGACAAATGATGAATTGATAACAAATCAGAGATATGGAAGATGATTTCATGATTTTGAGGTCAGAGTAAGAGGATCAGCAGATTAGTGAGGAGGAAAGGAAAGTGTTATCAGAGACGCTGCAGGAGATGTTAGCTTAGAGACGCTAATGATGCTTTCTGAGCCCTGATCTAAGCCTCAGAGAGGACTCACCTGGACAGAGAGGAGCGGGAGGGGGGTCGGCCCCTCCTGGCCCTTCCTCTGGGTGTGGGGGGAGTGAGGACCCGGGGCCACTGGTATCCTCTGTCTGCTGTTAGCGCTGACCCCTGACCCCTGTGACCTCTGTGACCCCTGCGGGGGCTGCAGACACACAGGTGAGATGAGTAGACGAGGAGGCCGTCAGCTGTCATGAGCCTCTGTTACATATCCTGTTCCTCCTGGCCGTCAGTGTACAGGAGGAAGTCATGACGTAATGTAAAATCACACACTGAGACACAAATATCTCAAAGGTGAATATAAAACGACGAGTGCCACTGATCTCAGGATAAAACTATGAACAAACACGCCCTGTTTAAGGGGGAGGGGGGGTCTGAGAGGACCCTGGCCCTGCAGCAGCAGAAACAGAGTGTTAGACAGTCAGAGATGTTCTCACACAGACCTGACATCAGTGTGGAACTACAACAGCTGTTAACCCTGTATGATGTGATCTGAAAACTTCTGGTGTAACAGTCTGAAACATAACTGAATGTTGATGAGGTTAGAGAAACAGCGGGTATGAGAACATCTCTGGTAGAAAGGGAAGCATGCAGCAGGTAAGACTGAGACAGGTGTTGGGCCATGCAGGCTTAAGACAGGCAAACAATGGACTTGGGCCTGCATCTCTGTGAGAAGCCTCATTTGAGTGATTCACTGGGATCACAAAGAGACCTAAAGGACTCTTACTCCCAGAATCCCCTGCAATACTTCACACCTACGTGTGAAGAAAGGGGGGGACCGGAACCTCTCTCTTCTCATTGGAGGGGACCTGAGGTAGACCCCCCATGAAGCAGGCCAGGCTACAAAACTCCAAGACTTCCATTGTTCTTTCTCTTTCCACGCGCTGACTTCAAGTGTTCGGAGACACAGCTCACCTCCTGTTCTCTGCAACAATCTCTTTGTTTTAAGTTTTGGCGCGCAGGTAATCCGAGGCCGGCAGTGCTCTAAATTCCGAGCTCGGATTGCCCAGTGAACGCATCTCAGTTTCCCGGAGAGCGTCAGACTATAACAGATTATCAGAAAGATAACGGTCTTATTCCATCCTGCAAGGAAAGGACATCAACGGACATCTTTCCACTCGACGGAGAACATAACGGAGCCGCTCTTGCCGTAAGGGACCCTCGCCACCATCAAATGCCTCTGTGACTGGACGGACAGAAGATCTGTTCAATCGCCGGACTCTTTTTCCCTTCATCAATCGCGGGCAAAGCGATTCACAGGTGAGGCTTAATTAGGTCTGGGCAGAATTAGCTTTAGAGAGTGTTTTTTATAATTGTTTGATTGATGCGGAAACGGTAATTCTTCTCTTAGTTGGACCGCCGCGTCCTGAGTTTCACCTGTTTAAAACTCTTGTTGGTCCTGTTTCGGACCGCTGCGTCTTATATGTGTTTAGCGTAACAGCGTTATAACCGGGTATTACTCTTCTGATCAGAAAGGCCAGTGTAAACCGTATTAACTTGAATTTGGCCATTGGTTTGTTTCTGTGAATGAAGGGAATTACTCCGAGTTGTGGCGCGGGATTCGAACTGTGATCCAGCCTCTTCAGGCACGCATTTCACGGCACGCGCACACGCGCGCACACACACACACACACCTCTTTCACAAGCCTTGCTTGATAATGTTTGTTTGTTTAGATTAGTTTGTAATAGTTATTTGTTTGATTAAGTTCATTGATTTTGGATTGATGTTGCTTTGTTTGAATAAATTCTGTTATAATTTAAGAGAGCAGTTGTGTTTGTGATTACTGGTGTATTTGCATTGTGACTGATTTTAGTGATATTTTGGTTGTATTTCCCTGATTACAGGGTGGTGCCCCAAACGAGATTAAACATAGTTTAATGACATTTTTAATTATATTATTAATAATTAAATATAATTAAAACCGCAAGCGGTGATGAAGGGCCCTCGCACCCCTGTGCATGTCGGGGTGTGTCGCGACCACGGGAGTGCAGCAGCAGCGGAACGTGGCTAAGCAGCAGGCCGTGCAGTTCGATTTGTGTAAAAGTCGTAGTACTGGCATGTTGAAATAGGCAGCGTAATGAAGATCACATTAAATTTTAACGTAGAGCAGTTCAGGCTGGCACTGTCATGATAGCTATGAAATATGGAGCAAATTGAGCATTGTATAAAGGATGTAGTACTTACTCTTTGCTGTAGGAGGCGCTATGGTTGAAGTTGACTATTGTTATGTCAATGTGTTCAGAGGTCAACCCTGGTCATCCATGTGAAATTTCAGTAAGATTAGACAAAGTATTTAGGATGTAGTACTTAGTCCTTACAGTAGGTGACTCTATGGTTGAAGTTGACTATTGTTATGTCAATGTGCTCAGAGGCCAACCCTGATCATACCTGGGAAATTTGTAACAAATCTGACATTGTATATGGGAGAAAGTACTTATACTTTGCAGTAGGGGGCACTATGGTTAAACTTTATTATTGTTTTGGGATGGTGTTCAGAAGCCAACCCTGATTATACCTGTGAAAATTGGAGCAGATCAGACAAAGCATATGAGATGTAGTACAGTGTCTTTCCAGTATGGGGCGCTATGTCAGTGGCCCAGTTGTATTAGGTTAGATGTGAGCAGGCCAGTACTGAGATCATTCAAGTGAAATTTGAATAAGATGTGACATTTTATATGGGAGGTAGTACTTAGTCTTTGCAGTAGGGGGCGCTTTGGTTGAAGTTGACTATTGTTATGTCAATGTGTTCAGATGCCAACCCTGATCATACATGTGAAATTTCAATCAGATCAGACAAAGTATATAGGATATAGTTCTTAGTCCTTGCATTAGGGGGCACTATGGTTAAACTTTATTATTGTTTTGTCATTGTGTCCAGAGGCCAACCCTGAACATAACTGAGAAATTTGAAAAGGATCAGACAAAGTATATAAGATGTAGTACTTACTCCTTGCAGTAGGGGGCGCTATGGTTAAAGTTGACTATTGTTATGTCAATGTGTTCAGAGGCCAACCCTGATCATACCTGGGAAATTTTAAGCAGATCAGACAAAGTATGTAAGAGCTACAGCCACTTCCTGTTTGATGGCGATGTGATTTTTGAACTTCCTGTTGCGTTTTGGGCGTGGGTTGAAGAGGCTTTTTTGTCATGTTGGAAATGCATAGTAAAATTCAGAATTGTAGGTTCAATGTGCTGCGGGGGCTGAATGTTTGAAATATTGTAGGGGGCGCCACTGAGCCATTAAGCCACGCCCACTCTCTTAAACGGTATAAGATGTTTGACTTTACTACCAGGATTATATGTATGAAGTTTCGGGACAGTACGACTATGTTAAGCCTGTGAAAAAACTACTTCCTGTTTGATGGCGAGCGACGCGTCCGTATGGCGACAGCGTTGGATGTAGGCGTTTGAGCTTGAAAGTGTTGTATGGCCAAGGTGGTAGCATAGTCCACACCAATTTTGAGGGGAAAATGAGCTACCGTGTAAAAATGGCGAATGCTAATAGAGAAGCAGTAACTTCCTGTTGTTAACAGGTGGCACTGTGACTAATCAAAAAATGTCAATCATGGATGTGTTCAGGGCGGGTTCCGAATCATGAGAAATTTTAATATGATTGAACACTAGATGGCAGAGATATAAGCATTTACTTTTTTGGCAACTTGCCAAAACGCTCAAAAAACTTAAAACGCACGCCACGCCCACGCCCTTTGATGAAATAACGTGCGGAGCACAACGAGATATGCTGAGCCTGTCTAGAACGCACTGACACTGAGATTGCGTCGATCGGATGGCGCCCTCAGACAAGTGTGTTCAAATAGGAAGGCTGAAATCAGCGATTTTGGGCCATTATCGTGAAATTGAAGTTTAATTTGTGGACTTCCTGTTGGTTTTTTTTTAAACGCTGCAAGAGGATTTTTAGTCCGTCCCGAGAAGCTTAATATGCATACCAATTTACGTGAGTGTACGTGAAAAAAACCTTTATGGGGAGGCCATTTTGAAAATTTGAAGGGGGCGCCGCTGAGCCATTTTGCGAACTCCGTTTACGAAACCACCAAAATATAAATTTTTTCACCAGACCTGATGACCGCGGAAAGTTTGGTGAGTTTTCAGGCACGTTCAGGCCCTCAAAAGTGGCCGCAAAGAGGCGGACTAAGAACGAGAAGAAGAAGAAGAATCGCCAGGGTTTCAAGAGGGTCCTCGCACGGTTCGTGCTCGGGCCCTAATTATTAAAGAATATAACCAAAGTTGACTTGATAAAACCCCAACACAGAATCAAAAGAGAGCACACACAATCAAGTTTTCATGTGGACCTGGGTTGTGTACTTGTGTACGTGGGTTTGAATTGCCCCCCGGGGACAAATAAAGTTTTTTGAATTGAATTGTACCTAAAGGATTTGCCCCCCCTGCTGGGCGGCAGGATGAAGTCAGACCGGATGAATCCACAGCTGCTGCTGGTTCCTCCTGAGCTCTGCTGCAGACTCGACGCCTTGGACGACAGCGAGCTGATGTCAGCCAGGTCACCTGAGGTGAGCGAGCTGCTTCCTGTTCGACACGGCGAGATGTCGCTGTCCAACACCTGACAGTCCACCACAGGCTCCTCCCTCTCCTGATGAGTGGTTACATTCAGAGAGGGTGAGTTTTCTATGATCTGTTTATTCAGCTGATGAAGAGAAGGCTGCACTTTATAAAGTATAGTACATTATGTGATTTATTCAGGTGGTTCTTACCTGGGACACTTTTCGGTCCACCTCTTTTCCGTCCTCGTAATAAACGTCTGTGATGATGCGAGTGATGGTGGTCCTCACTTCCTGTATGGTGCGTACGTGTCTGCGGTGGGCGGGGCCTGTGGTTCTCTTGAGGGATGGAGACGCTGATTCTCCCTGTGAGAAAGAGTGAGAAAGTACTGCACACACACGTTCCAACCAGTGGGCGCGCACTGTAGCTGTTCCCACTCAACGTTCTTGAAGCCAAAATACGCCGCTTAGGGGCGCTTCCATCTTGCGATTTTGACGTCATTTGGAGCCAGAGTCTGCGCAGTAGGGTCCGGGGGCAGGAGACCTGGTAACACGCCCCGCCCACTTAGCGTACTGCCCTGATGACTTACGCAGCCCAGCTACGCCGAAAGCGCTCTGCCGGTCTACGATGAAGAAATGTGTAAGTACAACAAACCGCCGTATTCAAAGTCTAATATTCAAACACACGGTTTTAAAAAATCCCGCTACTTTGATCATTATTGAAAATACATGGGCTGCTTGATCCTCTGTTTTTGCCGAAATTGTTCTATATTTAAGCTATATTTAAGCTAGGTTAGCACCACAGACCGTAGGCTACAGGTGGTAAGATATGTTGTATTTTGTTAGAAACTGATAGTCTGCAATGTGATTCATGTCTGATTTTCTAATATATTTAAGTGAACAGTAAATCAATTGTTTTTTGTATTTTCATTTAGGCAAATAAGAGATAAAAGCAGGTCTGACGTCTTCCACAGAGGTCAAGCGCAAGTTAAAATCATCTGTTAATTATATATCCTGTGATATTTATTTAAGTTTCATAAGAGGATTGTCAAAACAAGCTACTGTTAACAATACAGTCTTCTAAAAATAAATCCATTTTACAATCAACAGAACCTAAAAACGATTCATTTCAACCTTTGTCTGCACACCTGTTACAGAGGTCAGGCTGGGGTCGCTTAGTTTGAAGGAACCTCCTCCTTTTTTCACCTGTGCCAGATGCCCTGCTCATCCACTGTGGTAGAAATGACCTTACACCAGCAGCTCTCCCAGATGAAGAGTCCTCTCTGCCATCACCCAGAGGAGCTGATCAACGTCTGCACAACTACAGAAGGTGGACAGAGTCTGGTGCTTTGTGACAGTGAACAGTAAGAAGGCTACCATAGTCACCCTCAGATAAAACACAGAGATCCAGGTCAATATTTAATTTATTTTTCTTAACATGATGTTGCCCTGTGTTTGAAAGGCCAGATGCTGGAGGGTTGTGTTGGATTTGCTTTTCCATCATATTTTAAAAGTCAAACAATCATCCAGGATCTCTTTACTTTATTTGATTTTTATCTGGATTTCTTTGTTAAATTATTTTTTATACTTTCTCCTATGTCCCAGCAATTGGACCTGATGGTCTCCCTTACTTAATTTCCACATGGTTAATGAAGGCAGGGGCTGTTTATTGAAGTTTTTTTCATAAAATGTTTAAATAAACTTGTTTTAAATCTGATATGACTGTCTCTGATTAACTGGAGCACTACAAAGTGTTGGTCACAGTAAAATAATTTAGCAGTTAAGTTTATAGCTCACATTTGAAAAGGCCATGAACTGACATTCATTTCTTCTAACAGACGAGCTCAGCTTTTCACAGCCAGTCTCGTCTGAGATAAATGGCCTTCAAACTTACTTAATATTAAACATTTAAAGCCAATAAGCATAGCAAGATACGCATGAGATTCCATTTCAATTTATTCAATCACAGACTTGTCAAACAGTCTGGCATTTTGTGCTGCTGTTTTCAAGAGTTAATGACTAAAGAGAAGAAGTCCATCGAGAGGGGACAGGAAACACTCAGGGGACGAGTCCTCCATGTTGTCAGGGGTTGTTAATGGATCTGAATCTGAGAGCATCTTCTGTAATAAAGAAAAACAATCACAGAGTTAAATGTAAAGTATAATGAATTTTACTGTGATGTTTATGCCTCAGACCTGAAATCAGATCTGTCCTCAGGTTCTGCTAAGCTTCAGGTTCTAAAGTTTGTTTTTAAGACAGGATAACTATTTATGAGGAAAAACAAAATATATAATAAGACATGATAAATCCAATAATATGATCAGCTTTATGAATTTATGTTTTAAGACAAAAGTGTTCCTGCCACTTTCTATTGAAGATTATTTCAAACCGTCATCACATGGGCCAGCCTGATAAATTAAACTAATCTTAAACATTCTCATATAATCAGACAGCCAATTTGTGTGCAGAACCTCACCGGAGCTGGAATCAGAGTCTGGACTGCTGTTTCCTTTGGGCATTGATTTCCTTGAAGACAGAAAGAAGAACAATTTAAACATGAACTAAACTTCTTGCAGAACCATAGAGGCTGTTAAAATCTTCTGCTAGTCTTCCTTACATTTTAAGAAGGATTATAAATTGTTACTAAAATTACTTTGATGCAGATAGCGGGTATAATAAAACGGTCCAATCATATGAGAGATAATTTTACCTTTGAGTCCTATGTGCAGGCGTTCTCTTCAGTATCAGCACAACAAGATGATGGTGTCCACCTTCACAACCTGCTGCTTCAGTCTGGCTACATCATGGTCACCTACAGGAACACCACAGAAATGCAATCAAAGTACTTCACTGTATTTATCAGAGGATGTACTGTATGCAAAGTAGAATTTTTTTTAGCTGTAATTCCTCAAAAAGATTTGAGACTGTTTTGTTATTTGAGAGCACAGATTGTTTCTTTTCCCTTCTCTCTGTTTGCCTGTACATGACCTTTTAGTGCTGTAAAAGATGCTACAGTAAATCCTGGATCAGCTGTGTGGATGGTGCGACTGTGTGGTAAAGCTTTGTTAAAGTTGTCACGCACATACTCATATGCCTTTGGAGAGTAAAAGTGCAGTGTGGTGGCAAACTGCTTATAAAATATAAAATAGTATTTCATTGGTGAGGTGCCCCAATCAAAGCGTCCTACAGAGTAGCAGCAGCTTTAGAGGGAGGAGACGAGCGCACTATGGAGAGGAGCGCACCAGAGGGGGTGAGCTGGGGGAGAGACGCGCAACCTGAGAAAAAGGAAATCCCAGTTTAAAATATAATGTTGGCGAAAAGAGGGAAACAGGACGACATAAATGTCCATGTTGAAATTCTTTTGAATGCAGAGGCTGTGAATGTTCAGTTTTCTTTGGCTATAAAAAGGCAACAATAGCCTGTAGTTTAATCATGGTGTTTCTCTTCGTTAACGATTATTGAAGCAAAATAAAGAATAAATGCATGACATTTAAAACATATTAACATGTGTGGGGAAAAACGCGATCTTTATGTCTTTTATTGTGCCCATGTCTCCTCCTAACTTCAATAACAGCAGCCTGTTGTGTGTAACACTGGTCTCCTGGGTTAACACCTTCCTTTCAAAGGTGTTAAATACAGACACCGTCACAATCACCTCAATGTTTGTCAGGTTTTGTAAATTTTTAGAACAATTTCTCTATGAGTGTCATTAAATTTACAATATGATCAACTTGTGACTGTTGAATTGGTAGTGTGTGGAAGACAATGCAGAATATTCATCACGTTTAAGCAGCATGATGCTCGGTTAATATTACATAACACCACCGCCGGTTGTTGATGTTTGCGTTCACGTTTCGGTTAGTCTCTTAAATCAGTAACAGTTATATTAAATCACATCTTACCTTTAGTTTTATCTGGATACATAGAGAAATATTCTACCCTCGTTTATAGTAAAAATTTCAGCCTGCACGATGAAAGTAAAACCTGTTCCTCTCGGTATAGTCCACTTATCACTCAGACTGTAAACATGTACACATTAGTAATGATGCAGGCCAGATTTAAATTATGTGACTTTGTTTTTGCCCTCGATACTTTTTTGAGACCTTACCAGACGTTTTTATTTTTGCTGTAAAATAACTGTACAGTCAATGAACCGCATCTGTGAGCGGATTTTATATTACGATACTTGGTTTTAAATACATTTTCAATCACAATAACGACATAACAATATCAAGAAACATAGCATGTCAGTTATTAGGTTTGCTCATTTAATAAAATAAAATAAAAAGATAAATCATGCCGGATAAGTAACCTAGCTTTACAACATTTCAGCTAATCTTAGACTGCTTATGTGTTAGCTAGCTAGATAACGACTTTAACCAACGACACATAAATCACACTTTTTACTTACCGAAAAAACTGCAAAGATCCGTTATCTCCCACAGGTCGGTTAGAACAGTTTCCTGTAGAACAACTCATTCTTCCAGCTCAAAAAAAGACGAAAAAACTGAACGGAAAAATTCAATGGCGTCTCGGCTTTCCTTCACTACGTAACTTTTGTTATTCACAAAGAGAGCTACGCAAGATCGGCGGCTGTCAATCATCGTCAAATATGACGTAAAATCCTGTTTTTCAACCTCAAATAACTTATTTAAAACAAACTTCACAGAAAAATGAGCACTTGAACACAATGTAGGGTGATAATAACTAATGATCACAGCAGAGTTTAGGTTTGGAAAAAAATTATGTGACGAGTATTTTAGCTTTACAGTTTGACCCACATCCCGTCTGTTATCATTGAGGAGGCGGGGTTTATGACCTATACTGCAGCCAGTCAGTAGGGGGAGCTCTAAAAATAAAAGCTTCACTACACCGGGGACCTTGTCCCGTCCATTATTTTTACAGTCTATGGTTCCAACACACACACTCTCCAACACACACGTTCCTCTCTATTTAAAGGTGTGTATTTATACCTGGCCTGCTGGGGCCCGGGCTCCTCTGGGGGTCTGGGTCGGAGTCTGTGGAGCTTCAGGGGGTCCTGGTCTGTCCTCAGACTCTGCACGACCAAGAGGATCTTGAGAGGTCTGCGGAGCTGCAAACACTTCCTGTTGTGAGGGCTGCTCTGATTGGCTGTTAGGGAGGCTGTTACATCCCAGAGAGGAAGCCTGAGAGCTCCTCTGAGGAGAGGAGAACAGCTCCGCCCTGTGGAAATTTAAAGAGAATTAATCATTAAATCAATGAACACCTGCAGTCAGAGCCTTTCGGACATTTGTTTATGTAAATTTCAGACAATTACCTGACAGACGTGATGTTTAGCAGACAGGTGTGATGTTTACCTGACAGGTGTGATATTTAGCTGACAGGTGTGATGAGGTGTGATGTTAACCTGACAAGTGTGATGAGGTGTGATGTTTACCTGACAGGTGTGATGTTTACCTGACAGGTTTGATGAGGTGTGATGTTAACCTGACAGGTGTGATGTTTACCTGACAGGTTTGATGAGGTGTGATGTTAACCTGACAGGTGTGATGTTTACCTGACAGGTGTGATGAGGTGTGATGTTAACCTGACAGGTGTGATGTTTACCTGACAGGTTTGATGAGGTGTGATGTTAACCTGACAGGTGTGATGAGGTGTGACGTTAACTTGACAGGTGTGATTAAGATTAAGATTAACTTCATTGATCCCAGCAAGGGGAAATTTCAGTTTTTACACTCTGTAAGTCATGAACACACACATAGGCTGAAATATACACACACATGCAGAAACAGGATCCTACGGACATGCACTAATGGAGAGAAGCCAGAGTGACGGACCTGCCTACAGCGGGCGCCCACTGAGCTACTGCCGCCCACAATGAGGTGATGAGGTGTGATGTTAACCTGACAGGTGTGATGTTTAGCTGACAGGTGTGATGTTTAGCAGACAGGTGTGATGTTTAGCTGACAGGTGTGATGGGGTGTGGTGTTTAGCTGACAGGTGTGATGAGGTGTGATGTTTACCTGACAGGTGTGATGGTTCCTGCAGCGTGGGCGTCCTCCTCTGGCCCCTGCTGTCTGTGCACCTGTGTGACCCGGTTGAACACAGAGGGGCTGCTGCCGCACAAAACACGAGGTCATAATATGATAGAAACGTGTCGATGTAATAAAAGCTAGCATGATAAAACCTTCTGTTCTATTAGATGATTCTAGAGGATCATCTCTAACTGAGGTTTTGAAGCCTGAAGAAATGGCGAGGAGTTGAGCTGATCATTCACACACACGTTACCTGTTTAAAGCCTGATGAGCAGAGAACACCTTCACAGCAGAGCCCTCCTCCTCGGACAAAGCCGGCTCTAAAGGGAGAGATACTTGTCAATCAGAGGCTGATGATGTTTGCAGCGTTGCCATGGAAACAATCCTGTCACATGACACAGCGTCTTACTCTGCAGGCTGAAGCGCTCTGAGCTGCCTTCCTCCACCGGGGTCACCAGCTTCATCCTCAGACTCAGCTTCCCCCCCCCCCTCCCCTGAGTCTCCCCCGCTCTCCACCAACACCATGTCGCTCTCCGCCATCGCCATGTCTGCAGAGGTGTCAGCAGACACGACCACCTTCTCGGAGAACGAAGAGATCTCTGCAGAGACAGAAACATGTGAAGACATCGGCTCATGCTGTTCTACGTGATGAGACGTTCAGATGGGAGAACTGACCAATGGGAGTGCTGTGTCTCAGTGTCTGCTTCAGCTGGGTGATCAGAGGGGGCGTGGCTCCAACCACAGGATCAATCAGCTCCCCCTCTTTGGGCAGGGTGAAGTGGAAGGAGATCTCTGCAGCAGACAAAACAGATCAGAGATAGAATATAAAAACAGATCTATTAATCTATTTCTATGTAAAAGTGTCTGAGTGAGAATATAAAAACAGATCTATTAATCTATATCTATGTAAAAGTGTCTGAGTGAGAATATAAAAACAGATCTATTAATCTATATCTATGTAAAAGTGTCTGAGTGAGAATATAAAAACAGATCTATTAATCTATTTCTATGTAAAAGTGTCTGAGTGAGAATATAAAAACAGATCTATTAATCTATTTCTATGTAAAAGTGTCTGAGTGAGAATATAAAAACAGATCTATTAATCTATATCTATGTAAAAGCGTCTGAGATAGAATATAAAAACAGATCTATTAATCTATTTCTATGTAAAAGTGTCTGAGTGAGAATATAAAAACAGATCTATAAATCTATATCTATGTAAAAGTGAGTGACAGCTCAGACTCACCTCCTGAGCTTTCACTCAGACTATTGTCTTTGAGCCCCTCTGGTTCAGGCCCCGCCCTCAAAGGCTGGGAGAGCCTATCAGAGAGCAGCTTCTTGGGGTGGTGTCCATTGGTGGAGACAGATTCTCTGCCTCTGATTGGCTGGGAGCTGTTGGTCCTTGAATGTTTCTGAGAGTCTCTGTCTGTGATGATGACAACACTGTCCTCTTCCTGACTGTCCAGCTGACTCTGAGAGAGGACCAGAGCCATCCCTGAAGCCCCGCCCCCTGCGCTCTGCTCCTCCTCCTCTGTCTGACTGTTTGAGCTTCCTCTCGCTCTCAGGAGAGCAGCAGTCTTCTTCACCTCCTCCTCTGACTTCTGACAGGTCAGACTGCCGGGGAAGGGGTCAGGGGGTGTGGCCTGCACAGAGCTCACCTGTGAGCTGTCAGTCATGTTGGGTACATTCAGAGGACTTGGATGTTTCAGGGCTCCCAAAGAGGACTCCGATTTGGAGGGGGTCTGTGACTCCGAGCTCAAACCGTTTCTCTGACTCCTCCCCTCACTGTGTGACATCACAGAGTCACAGGTGGTGACTGTGGACGGTTCAGACAGATCCTCGATCTGCGTGTCCTGACTGTCCTCAGCAGGCGGATGTGATGTGCTGCTGAGTGTGCTGACAGACAGCTGCAGACAGGGGGCAGCAGAGCGCTGAGGTGTCTCCTGGCTCTGAGTCGGGACAAACACATCCTAAAATCACAACAGACATCATGTTTTAAACATCAGTTTTTACTCAGAGGCGTCCTGTTGATCCAAATAAAGAAACAAGGTCGAGCAGATCCCTCTAACACACGTCAGGAACCTGTGTCAGATCCTCTTTTGAACCACCAGAGGGCGCAATGTCACGACTTTAAACCTGTTAATGTGACTTACCTGAGAGAACTGCGGCTGTGAAGGCAAAGATAGAGTCCGCTCCAACACCAACCCAGGGGCAGTCTGGGAAACAGGCGTAGAGGCAGAGGGGAGGGGCTTAAAGGTACCCTGTGTTTCCATTGGCTCCTCTTTATCCCCTCGTCGACCTGCAGTTGGCGCTGTTGTGTCCATGGATTCATCTGCAGACGGACAAACAAACATGATGTGTGTGTGTGTGTGTGTGTGTGTGTGTGTTGTATGTGTGTGAGTGTTCTGTATGTGTGTGTGTGTGTTCTGTATGTGTGTTCTGTATGTATGTATGTGTTTGTGTGTGTGTGTGTGTGTGTGTGTGTGTTGTCAGTGTGTATGTGTTGTCAGTGTGTAAGTGTGTGTTGTCAGTGTGTATGTGTTGTCAGTGTGTGTGTGATGTCAGTGTGTAAGTGTGTGTTGTCAGTGTGTATGTGTTGTCAGTGTGTGTGTGTTGTCAGTGTGTATGTGTTGTCAGTGTGTGTGTGATGTCAGTGTGTGTGTGATGTCAGTGTGTGTGTGTTGTCAGTGTGTATGTGTTGTCAGTGTGTAAGTGTGTGTTGTCAGTGTGTGTGTGTTGTCAGTGTGTGTGTGTTGTCAGTGTGTATGTGTTGTCAGTGTGTATGTGTTGTCAGTGTGTATGTGTTGTCAGTGTGTAAGTGTGTGTTGTCAGTGTGTGTGTGTTGTCAGTGTGTATGTGTGTGTTGTCAGTGTGTATGTGTTGTCAGTGTGTATGTGTTGTCAGTGTGTATGTGTGTGTTGTCAGTGTGTATGTGTTGTCAGTGTGTATGTGTTGTCAGTGTGTAAGTGTGTGTTGTCAGTGTGTATGTGTTGTCAGTGTGTATGTGTTGTCAGTGTGTAAGTGTGTGTTGTCAGTGTGTGTGTGTTGTCAGTGTGTGTGTGTTGTCAGTGTGTAAGTGTGTGTTGTCAGTGTGTGTGTGTTGTCAGTGTGTATGTGTTGTCAGTGTGTAAGTGTGTGTTGTCAGTGTGTGTGTGTTGTCAGTGTGTATGTGTTGTCAGTGTGTATGTGTTGTCAGTGTGTGTGTGTTGTCAGTGTGTATGTGTTGTCAGTGTGTAAGTGTGTGTTGTCAGTGTGTGTGTGTGTGTTGTCAGTGTATGTGTGTGTGTTGTCAGTGTGTGTCACTGAGGGTGGAGCTTCACCTCCGTCACTCTCTGGCTCTGTGGGGGAGCTGGGGATAATTAGGGGGGTGGGGGCCACATAGTCCACTGAGCTCCTGCAGAAAGGGGCGGAGTCAGATGAGCATTAGGTCAGCTGTGTTTCAGTGCACATACTTCATGATCATATGTGAGGCTCTTACTGGGACAGACTCTCCTGAACCAGACTGTCCTGTCCTGACAGGTGCAGCAGTCTGAGGGTGTGGGCGGGGGTCGGGTCACCATGATGCTCCTCCTCTGACATTGTGCTGTCAACTGTCACACCTGAGACACACACACACACACAGGTGAGACATCACAGGGACACACACACACAGGTGGGACATCAGAGTGACACACACACACAGGTGGGACATCAGAGTGACACACACACAGGTTGTTACCGCTCCTGTCGGCGTCAAACAGGTCCTGCTGCGACGACGGGGTCTTGTGGTCCTGCTGGCCTTGGACTCTGAGCTTGGACTGCACGTCTTCCTCCTGACTGTTCACTGAGTGTCCTCGCAGGTCCTGACTCTGAGAGAGCTGCAGGAAGCCAAACTGAGAGGTTCCCTCTATACACACACACACACACACACACACACACACACACACACACACACACACACACACACACACACACACACACACACACACACACACACACACACACACACACACACACACACACACACACACACACACACACACACACACACACACACACACACACACACACACACACACACACACACACACACACACACACACACACACACACACACACACACACACACACACACACACACACACACACACACACACACACACACACACACACACACACACACACACACACACGTAAGTCATGGAGACAGACTACCCTAGCTGACTGACAGTGATATAAAGGTGAGAGGTCCCATACCTTCAGACTGAACACAGTGTGTGGTAGAATCCGCTCTGGAGTCCTCTGCAGCACACCTGAACACCAGAGACCAGGTGAGCAAAGGTCACAATTACCAAATATTCTCCATCCATGGATTTTTTGTAACAATGACGGAAGAATGTGAAGGCTGTCTGTCATTTTGACAGATTAGAATTAGCGGGTGTCCGGCGCTCACCCAGCGCAGTCATTAACCACGTGTAAAACACCTGCAGTACACCTCCCTGTCCAGTGGGTGGCGACTGTGCATTATTCATTAGTTATTGTTTTCCTTTGTAGGATCTGACCTCAGGAAGTGACCAGAGGTGCTGACAGGAAGTGACTAAAAGGTTTCTATAATCAAATGCTAAAATAAATATTTAATAAATAAACAGACAATGTAAATGGTAAATGGACTTGACCTTATATAGCACTTTTCTAGTCTTCCAACTACTCAAAGCGCTTTTACACCACATGTCAAACCCACCCATTCATACCCTTTCGCACACTGCTGGTAGTGATGATTGCTATGTAGTATCATCCATCAGAAGTAACTAATCCATTCATACACCACCACTGAAGCAGAGGGAGCAATTCAGGGTTAAGTGTCTTGCCCAAGGACACATCGGACATGTTTCAGCTGGGGATTGAACCCTTGGCCTTCCGGTTGAGAGGCGACGACTCTACCAACTGAGCCACAGCCGCCTGTAATGTGTCATTATCATAAAAATATAAGAAATGAAAAAGACCCTGTCCGTTTTACAACCCTGTCCGTCAAAATGAAAGACAACAAGAGTGTAAGTAACCTCTGCAGGTGAGCCTTGTGCACATCATGGTCTGGACATGTCCAGGTATGACTCACCTGTTCTTGTTAGGGGGGAGCAGATGTTTAAAACTTGACTCTCGGTATGACTCACCTATTCTTGTTGGGGGGGGGGCAGATGTTTAAAACCTGACTCTCGTCCTGGACAGACGACCTGGGCTCAGCTGACACAGGAACACCTGAACACCACACAGGTGTGTTTTTATTATCATAACACTGAGTATTTCTCCTAATCTATGATGTCAGAGAGCACTCACCTGGATCAATGCGGCTGGTCCTCTCTCTGCTCTCTGATTGGCTGTCAGTCTGAGATGATCTACTTCCTGACGGAGAGGAGATCAGCTCCTAAGAAGATTCAAATATAAAGATATTATCATTCTTTAAATCTGGAGAACAGAAACAATATTCATATATTTGGATATATCATGATTACAATAATATGTTTGATTAAATGTAAGATCGTGTATGTGACCAATGTTGAGAAAGTAAAAGTAAACATGAGTACGGAAACCCAAAGAGGACATAAATCCATACGTTTACTTAACTCCAATTGCACGTGATAACAACAAGTTAATTTCTCAAATGAATAATTACCGTGCACTTCAGTATATCACCCCTGTATATCTTTCTATAATACAGTCATGAAACTTCATAAGAACAGTGAATAGGGATCTGACCAGCACGGGGCTTCGGGCGGAGGGCTGAAGGCTGGATAGTCGGCGGGCCAGCACGGCTCGATAGCTGCTCTCTGGATCGTCCTCCAGGGCGACACTGTCCGGCTGAGAGTCCTCCACGATCAGGCACGGCTTCTCGGGCTGAGGCAGGCTGGAGTCCAGCTCACTCCCGCCGGGATCCATGAGCTCAGGTCGGGGACAGGAAGCGGGCTGGGATTAGCTACGGAGCGGCGAGAAAAGGGGGGAGTGTGTGGCTGTTAGCTTAGTCTGACCGGGGCTAGCCTGTTAGCTGGAGGTAAAGGCTAACCGGGGCTAGCTTGTTAGCTGGGGGCTAGCCGACAATACTCCGGTGCTCCAGGCCGTTAAAGTGTCCGATCGCCCCGCCAGAACCTCCACACACAATTGAGGCCGTTTAGCTTGGCATGTTCGCATGTTGGTATTGTTATTAACTCATGTCATGAATCATCAGTTTCATATAAGCACAACCCACCCACACACACCTTTTACTGCAGCTCCGCTTCTCGCGGCAAAACTGAACACCAGTGATTTGATTGGTGGTGCCTATGATGTGATGACGTCACAGTGGACTGTTGATTGGTTGTATGGTTGTAGGCTCCTCTAGTAACAAATGAAGGACCATGACATGTTGGTCAATCAGTGAGATGTGTGAGTGAAATGATAAAGTGACCTTACTATATGATCAGAAATTAAGGAAAGATTAAGATTTACTTTATTGATTCCCACAAGGGGAAATTTCTGTTTTTACACTCTGTAAGTCATGCAACACACACATAGGCTGAAATACACACACATGCACAAACAGGATCCTATGGACATGCACTAATGGAGAGATGTCAGAGTGATGGAGCGAGCACTCCTGGGCTGATGGTGGGGGGGGGGGGGTTCAGTGCCTTGCTCAAGGGAACCTCGGCAATGTTCAGTATGTCCGCCTTCTAACTTTAGATTCTGGTCCTGAATGCTCTGGATTTGTTTGGACCAGAGAAGGTAGGCGCTTTTAAGACACGTTTTGGACGCCCCTCGGTTTGCCAGATATGAGAGCAGTTATCAGGTCAAACCAACAGGTGTTGCAGCGATGGAAGCGGGCAAGAGAAGTGGTTCAGATAGAAGTGATTGTACCCGACCTAAAAAGCCTCTGCATGTTTCTAATAAGCTCCACGAGCAGAAACGTGCTCAAACTAGGATCAATATTGGAGATGCTTTTGAAAAGTGGAGAGAGGTTAGAACACAGAAAGGTTTACAGACCCATGCAGAGCTGGATAAACACTGAAGCTTCAGAGTCCACCACATGGCAACCTGCATGAGCATCGACTCTAGAGAGGAGAGGGGGGGGGCAGCTCTCTCAATGTTTAGAATTTAGACTGCAGTACCCATTTTAAACACTAGGGGTCAGAGTTATTTATTTGAGATCTAACGTTAAAAGTGTAACATTACACACACTGCTTTTGCTTTAAATACTTGACTCTTTATTTTTATTATAATATGACAGCTTAAACATGTAGCCATCAGTTTATGTTCTGTTCATGTAATAATAATAATAATAATAATAATAATAATAATAATAATAATAATAGTAATAATAGTAATAATAATAATAGTTATAATGATAATAATAGTAATAATAATAATAATAGTAATAATAATAGTAATAATAATAATAATAATAAAATAATAATAGTAACAATGATAATAAGAATAGTAATAATAATAATAACAATAATAATAATACTAATAATAATAATATAACCCGTCCTCCTGGGCCCCAATCCTCGTAAATGGTTCAAATAATCACAGCTAATGTCCTTTTAGCCTGATTCAGTTAACGTGATGATTGAAGGCTGGCTGTTCCTCCACCGCTGAGAACTGGAACCAAACATGAGTGATCAGGATACTTGCTCGTGCCCGTTCTACATGAAAAGGGAGCAGCGTGAATCACAGAAATCCTGATTCTCTCTGTGATTATCACTGGAGAATTTAAAGGAACAACTTGAACAGCAAACCACCATGGAAGAATATGAAAACTTCCAGACCATATTAACAGCCAAATCAAACACCTCGGCATCAGCAAAGACCAGACGAGCAGCTTGGCAAGTGGTTGCAAGTTAAATAAAGTGTAAAGAATATGTATAATCATTCATTGCTGTATTAGATTATTTAACTAGATGAGTTTCTACCATGAATCAAGTCATTATTATTTTCTATAGACTGGTATAGATAACTAGCAAAACATAAGAACATCATTCAGGGGGGAAGAATCATTTGTGCAATGGTGTTGAATTGACAAAGTTTCCAGTGTCAGACCAACAGTGTAGCAATGGAGCAGTCAGTAATATTCAATACTCGCATAGTGAGAAGATATTGAAGTTAGTATCTGACCACCACATAACTAAATCATGACTGATGTATTTCAGACAGAGACGAGGAAAGAGTGATCCCTGCAGGCCGACATTACAGGCTGCTGAATCTGGGCCATGAAGTCCCACACAGGGAGCTGTGAGACCTTCAGGGCTCCTTGTGAGGCGTTCAGGGACTTGTGTAAAAAGAGATTTAGGTTAACTTTCACTGTCCTCAAAAACTTTTAAAAGGGATGGCCTAGCGGTTAGGTTGCACTCCATGTACGGAGGGTGTGGTCCTTCAAGCATCGTGCAAGGTCAAGATTAGACCTACTATACATTTTTAATATCCGTCATATAACCAACAAGATAAAGAACTTTCCTTCGGTTTAGAGAACGGGATGAAAACTACTGGACATTTAGAGTCACTGTGTCAACCCCCCCCCCCCCGAGCTCCTTTAGACCCCGTCTGCTCACTACACTAAGGTCACCACTGAAAAGACTTAGACCAGGAGAAGGTTTGATAAGACAGGGAGCTCTCTGATTGGTGGACAGTGGACCAATAAGAGAGCACACAAAGGGTCAGTCTGAACCCTGACTGTACCTGTGCCTATCGGTGCATTCATGTGGTGTCGGACACATCGGAAAAATGAGTTTCTGAGTCGTAAAATGAACA